CTCTTTAGAGATGCTCCCAACTTTTTGTAATGAGGTCATACTGCTCTCATAGCAAAAGGTAATTATTTAAAATGGCAGCATAATTGTACCTCCCTGCTGCTGTTTGAGAACAAGGGTGTAAAACAGGTTACGTGAAAACATTTGATTGTTTGGAGTGAGTTGACAATATATTTCTCCAAAAATACAGCAGCTACCCCTCCCCCAAGGAGCCCTGGTGGCACAGTGGTTAAGCACTTGGCTGCTGAGCAGAAGGTCAGCAGTTCAAACCCACCAGCTGCTCCAAGGGAGAAAGGTGTGGCCTCTGTGGGGAAGTTCTACTCTGTCTTGCAGGGTCAGTGTCAGTTGGAATCAACTTGACAGCAATGATTATGGTTTGGTTTTTGGGTTTACTCCTCCAAAAATTGATAATAGATTTTAATCCTTTAAGAGTCTTTCCAAATAAAGGGAAGATTTTTATTTACTTTAAAAATTCTAAATTTCTTAGAAGCAATTCTCTTTTTAAATTCTTGAGGTTTTGAATAGGCCCTTTAGGCATTTTCTTTTGTTACACTGTGTACTAATTCAAGCCATATAGCTATTGAGTCCCCTCTACCCCATTCTGGCAAATTGTGGCTGTCACATTCTCTCATGCAGCAAAGTTGCCCGTTCCTCTGATTTTCTCCTGTGCTCTGTGGTGGTCTCCACCCGGGCTCCCTGCTCCCCTCACAGAAGTGTAGCCTCAGAGTGTTTGGCTATTCCAGAGAGGGGGGCTTAACGCCCATTTGCAGATAATGTATCTTGTGTGTGTGTCAATAAAACTTTATTTACAAAAAGTAGGCAGCAGGCAGATTTGGCCAAAGTTAACTGACCTCTGTTATAAACTCTCTTCTTGGGAAGTACTTATTATTGGATATATTTTATTAACTCTGCTTGTTACTCTTTCATGTAAAACATTCACCTTGGGGCTTAACTAAAATAATCTTCCCTCCTCTCAGCAAACATGGGCATCCACCGTGTGTGTGTGTGTGTGTGTGTGTGTGTGTGTATGTGTGTTTGTTTTTAATTGTGATTTGGGTGAAAGTTAACAGAGCAAATTCATTTTCCATACACAGTTCATGCACATTTTGTTTCAGATAATGTATCTTTTTTACTCCATTCAATATGATGGCTCTTTTTGTGTTTATTTTCCATGTCAGATTAGGTAAGACCTGCTGGATGGTGCAGGTATTGGGTGCCTTGAAGACGGGCTTTATACCAATTTTTCCCTTTATTTCCTTCACTCATGGGCCTGGTGTCTAGCAGGCCAGCCAGCCTACTCTTCTATCTTTTACCAGTTTCTTGCTCATCTTCCTTTAAAGTTTCTTCTCCTTTTGAATGTCGGTTCCCTTCCTTTTCCTCATTTTGCATGCTGGGCTATTTTTTGCTTTTTGTTTTGCTTAAAGAAAGTCCTTGGTAAGTTTCACATTGATGTCTTACCTGTAGCTCTCTTGGCCAAAACAGGTGCAGAGATTTTGTGAGAAGTGAGAAGCCCTCCTGTCCTTAGAAATTTTCAGTCAATGCTTAATTTTAAATGTAGAGATAAAAGGACGAAGATGGGAAGAATGAAGGCATGGATTTTCTGTGTTGCTCAAAGTCCAAATGCTAGTGCCTTTGGCAAAGTCTGGTTTAATGTTGATGGCAGAGGAGCAGACAGTCTTCTTTGTCTGCATTTGACTGATTGAGCATGTTGAGTGGTCAGACTGGTTTCTCCCGCAGAGCATAGATGTTTAGAGCAGCCTCTGAAGCACTGCTCGAGAGTGTCACTCTCTTGTGTCCACTTTTTCCTTCAGTGCGTGGATCTGAGCTGCAATGAGCTCGGCGAAGTCATGTTGCCAGAAAACCTGCCCCCAAAACTGCAAGAGTTAGACCTGACTGGAAACCCCAGACTCACCCTCGATCACAAAACCCTGGAACTGCTCAAGTGAGTACTGTTTGGGAAGGGTGGTAGCCGCCATTCTTCATTGGACAGTGGGACTTACCGCTTAGTAAAAGCATTAAGCAGAAAGGCTGAAGCATCCACCGGTTTATTGGCTGTTTCTGCTCACATTTGAATAAAGTGACTTGAAAGTCTGTAGTTCAGTGATGTGGGGGCCAGAGAGTATCTCACGTTGTAAGATGCTCACGTGCCCCTTTGGAAAGTTGTTGAGAAAGCACCCAGACAATAAGAGAATGA